CCACACACACACACACACTACTGTTGAATGTAAACTGTGAGACCTGAACACAAACTTGTAATCTGGAATAATGTAACAAAAAAATGCAACATGGGGAATGCAGGGAATAAACAGAACCTGAAGCCCAGAACATGCTGGTGTTAAAGTACAGGTTAAAGGTCGTATGTATCAATTTTTAGTCCTTCACACTGGATGACAGCCCTGGGTGATCATTTCAGAGTCCTGGTGACTATTCAGCTGTTTTAATAGCACATGTGATGGGGTGAAAGGTCCACCATTGAGCATTTACAAAAGGTCAGTGTTGAGGAGGCTTGTCATTGTGCTGGCACTGTATCTGAAGGTGGGACCCACGTGCAGCTTGCTCTGTGAGAACTTGAACTCAGGAGACCATGGAAACAGTGCAGGTGTGATCGTCTAACCTGTAGCTGCATAGAGGAGAGTTCTGCCAGGGTGAGGTACGAAGCATGGCGATGGAGCGTCTCATAGATGCTCTGTTACCCTCATGACATATTAATAATCACACAGAAACATAGAATAAAACACATCCATCTTTATGACGATGCATTTGACATTACAACATGACGGCCTTAATGAGTTATATTATAGCTAAAGAAAGGACCCAAAACTGGAAGTTGAAGCCACAAAGAGTAAGAGCCCCCTGTGACTGGTTGCAATACAATTTTTAAATCCTGTCCCTCCATGTAACCCAATTACCGTTGCATTTGGGCTCAAAATATCCGACCCAACACAGCACCAGCCCGTAGCCATCATTTCCAAACCCCGCCCGACCCGACAAATTTTTAATTAAGCTTTGATTTATAAAGTTATTATCGGTCGGCAGATGCGTGCGGCTGAATAAAAGGAGCAGAAGATGGGAGCTGGGGGGGTGTTTGTCCTTTCATGGCTGCTTCAGGCATGGACCCTGCTCTGACATGTCTGCTTTAGATCTCACCTGTTTGGGCCAGTGGCTGAGTTCATCCGCTGAGTGCAGCGGATGCACATCCATATGGGCGATGGATCCCTTCCTGGCAGTACTGGCAGTCCCATCTGAAGCTTAACTGAACTTTTTTAACTTCTTTCAAGGCCAGTCAGCGCACGGGAAAATGGTCGTGTGAGGCTGGCGATGTATGGTAAGTCATATTGCCATATAATTGGATCGTCAGCCGCGCGCGTCCGCTGATGCAGTCAAAAGCCAGATACCGACCCAACCCGCCCATCCAGCACATTATTATGGCTCGGCCCGGCCTGGCCCAGCTTTGGGCCCAGGTTAGATATGACAGCTCTAAACCCAATGGGACATTTCCTGATTAAAGAAAAAAAAAGCAACTGTTGATCTGCATACGCTTACCTTTCTAGTTATGTTAAAATATGCATTTTTAAAACCATTTTAATTAAATTAGTTACGTGTCGTGTTTGACAGGGTGAGAGCTAATTAACAAGTTGGAGGGTGTGCAGATGAAACATTTGTATATTAAAGGTGACCTCCCTCGTTAGTCAGCAGACTCAGGTTTTTTTTAATGCTGTCATTTTCAGAGACAAACATTTTGGCTTAAATTTTAAATGAGAGACGGCAAAGACATTTGCCCACATTTATCCACACTGATGGTCATATACTTTGAAACACAAAGCAGGTGTCTTCAGATAAATTCCAAGAATTAAATAAAATTAATCAAGATGACCACATACAGCATATTATACGTGTGCTGACAAACCAATATACAACAATCTATGCATCACTTGCTGCCTTTAGTGCCAAAGATTTAAACTAAGATCATCTTGTGTTGACAAATGATGGTGTTTCAGACATGAATCTCACTTAATGTGACCATACACACACCAGATATGTGCTGAGGATGAGTCTCACCTCACAAAATGTGGTATGGTATGATATGGTATGATATGGTATGGTATGATATGGTATGGTATGATATCTCATAAAGGAAAAACCCCAGGAGTGATTTTTAGGCCTATTCAAACCCCAAACAATGAATGGACTTCAAGTTTTTGTGCATTCAGTCACAAAAAGATTTGAATGTGATGATGGCAAAAGTGAAGCATTAAAAAAAAAAAAAAAAAAAAAATAAAAAAGAGTATTTCTGGCTTTCAGAGGAACTTTGACTATATGGATTAAAGAAAAACTTAAAGGAACTCGTTGCAACATATAAAATCCAACAGAAAAGTTCATCCTGAACTATTGAATGGTGGAGTTTGAAAGAGTTTAATCCAGACATTTTTCAATACAGATCTAAACTTCTGAAATGCAGATCTGCCAAAAACTACAAGGAAGCTTCCGTCACCTGTTTGACCCATGAGGCTGGATGCAGCTTGTGTGGGTAAACAAATACTGTATAAAAGGAATCAGACAAGCGCATATTCTGAAAAAACTTTTAGGTGGAAATTTAAGAGTGAATCTTCTGGTAAATGTGAAATAAAACAAAGAAATAAGAAAGGTGGAGAAGGACAAACACAAATTTTTACAAAACTTAGTAAGTTGTTTCAATCTCTATGTTTTTATTTGAATACTATCCTGTACCAAGCTGAGTGTAATAAGTACTAATACATGAAAATGATCTGCCTTCCTCATCCCAAATATCTCTTCAATGGATTTCACCACAAATGATCTCTCTTTAGTCACTGCAGCTGTTTTCAGCTGTTTCTGTAAATACACGGTAGTTGGTAGTCGATTACAGATTTTAATTTCTTAATTTAATAATCCATTAGCCATGGATATGGAAAAGCCATTGTATGGATTTAGTTGCTTAACTGATGAGTTCTGTCACCAGTTTTCATGACTTTGCAATAATTATCTTTAAAGTCCAGATTTGTTTCCTTTTGTACAGATTTGACCTTAAATGTCAAAGTTTCTTTATTTGTCATTCGCACCACATGTAGTACATGTGGTGGAACGGAAATATGTACACAGGGTCCCAGTTACATCCAACAAAAGTATAAACTGTAAAGAAAAACAGTAAGATATGAACTAAGAAATATGCTAAACTAAGAATACGTTAAGCACTAATTGTACAAAACAATACACCGAACAACAAGCGAACAAACTGCTCTGTATCATCTATAAATGTTGATTAAAAAAAATCAGTAAATATCCGACAGAATGGGGCTGTGGTAGTTTGGTGGTCAGTGCCGTGGTCTTGTAATCCTGGGGTTGCAGGTTCGAGCCTATCAGGAAGGGCATTTGGTATAAAACAATTGCCAAGTCTTTCATGTGAGTTCGCATGCTGTGGTGACCCCTGAAGAAGAGAGCAGCCAAACAAAATCTTAGTAAATATCAGACAGAAAGTACAATTTAGCCAAACATGAAGAAAAATGAAGAAATTTGGGGTGAGCCAATCTTTGTTTATATTCAAGTAGATGCCACAAAATGAAGCCTAAAAAAAACAGATTGCAAATGTCGCTCCACATCAGTCTGATAACAGTCTTTGATGACACTGTAGCCGGATAATCTGAGTTTTATTTTTGGACTTTTTCTTTTACCTCATGTGTGATTAAAAAAAACACTACACATAAAAACCCATGAAACATTTGTTGTGTATTTTAATTTTTATGCAAATAAAGTGAACACTAAAGCCACCGATGCTTCATCAAAATAAATGTTGATATGTTCAGATGCTGTTGCTGTATCCTTTTTGGTAATTTCTGAAATAATAAAAAACCTACAATGTGAAACTCATATTTTCTTTTTTTTTTTTTTTTTAATTAAACAACTTCCAACAAAAACTTGATGTTTTTGAAAAATATGTGCAAAATCCTCAAGATTTTTTAAATTGGTATGAGGTTTAAAGAAACCAGCCACTATGCAGCACAGGCACAGATGATCTGTGTTTTTGATCCTGTATGCTCTACACTGGTTTGTTGTCATTATCTGCATCGTTTTTTGTCTATATTCTGATTTACCTCATATTGTATTTTGCTTTGTGTGTTACCTGTTGTTTTGTCTGTACAGCACTTTGGTTGGCTTTGTAGCTGTTTTAAGTGCTTCATAAATAAAGTGGTATGGTATAGTATAGTATAGGCCAGTGTGTCTCTGGTTCTGAGGGTTGTATCAAGAAGGACATCTGATGTAAAACACTTTTGCCAAAACTAATATGCAAGTTTATCTAAGGAACATGATACCGAATCAGTCGATGCCCAGGCTAACAAGGACCACCAACGTTGCTGTTGGCAAACAGGGTGCCGGTGGAAATTGTGCTACTGTTAGTTAAAGACCACGAGGAGGGAAACATGTCAGGAGACAGAGGGAAAAGAGGAAAGTGAAGACTGTAGGACTGAGGCTTGCAACTCTAAATGTGGGGACAATGACAGGCACAGGTAGAGAGCTGGCTGACATGATGCAGAGAAGGAAGGTAGATGTTTTATGTGTTCAAGAGACCAAGTGGATGGGCAGCAAGGCTCACAGCATTGGAGCAGGGTTCAAACTGTTTTACCATGGTGTGGATAAAAGGAGAAATTGAGTAGAGGTGGTCCTAAAGGAGGAGTTTATAAAGAATGTAGTAGAGGTGAAGAGAGTGTCAGATAGGGTGATGTGGCTGAAGGTAGAAGTAGAAGGTCTGATGCTAAATGTTTTCAGTGGTTTTGCTCCACAGGTTGGATGTGATGTGGAGGAGAAAGATACATTTTGGAAGGATCTGGATGAAGTGATAGAAAGTATTTCCAGGGAGGAGAGAGTGGTGATAGGAGCAGACCTGAATGGACATGTTAGTGAAGGAAACAGAGAGGATGAAGAAGTGATGGGTAGTTTTGATGTCAAGGAAAAAAAACATGAAGGACAGATGGTGGTGGATTTTGCCAAGAGAATGGAAATGACTGTAGTCAACACTTATTTCCAAAAGAGGGAGGAACATAGAGTGACCTATAAGAGAGGAGGCAGG